TGCATGTTCAAGGTCAAAGGATCAAAATTGTTGATGCCCAAGGGTAGGTCTTGTCTCATGGAATACACATGAAAATATGAAAGCCTTAGCGCTAATTGTTCAAAAGTTATCGCCTAGGTTAAAGTTTGGTAAAATTTCCAAAAGTGGGTCAAACTCCAAGGTCAAGAGGTCAAATATGTTGGTATGCAAAGATAGGTCTTGTCGCAAGGAATACACTTGTGAAATTTGAAAGCCATGTCTCTTACCGATCAAAAGTTATGGGCAAGGTTAAAGTTTTTGCCGACAAACAGATAAACAGACAAGCGGACAGAGCAAAAACTATTTGCCCCCGAATCTTCGATTACGGGGCGTTTTATACCACCATATAACCTAACCAATCCCCCCCCCCCGATATACATCTTAATCCTCAAATGTTTTCTGAGTAATATACTAAGTATTTAACAAGGGTCAGGCCCGTAGCAAGGGTTTCAAAAGTGGGGGAGGGGGGATCTGACAGGCAAAAAAAGGGGAAGGTTAAACGTCCTGGAATTTACCAGTGCTCGATCTTACGGCAACAAAAAAGGGGGGACAGCATATAAAGGAAAATTTTCCATAGCAAAAAATACCATACTCAGAAAAAGTGCCCCCCCCCCTTCCGCGTTCTACCGTCCTGAAGGGGATGTTGATATTTTTCTGTATTAAAAAGTCAGCCAATCTGCATCCAGAATAGCATGTTTATAAAAAAGAAAACAAGATGTATTTGTGAAACACTGATGCCCACATATGACAGCGCATGGCCAAGGTTAGTTCTTTTAATAGTACGTCAAATTTTAGGATCATGAAGGTACAAAATATTGGTACTCCAAAAGAGGATACGCATGTCAAATATGAAATCTCTAGCACCAACCGTTCAGAAGTTATGACCAAGGTTAAAGTCTTTTAATAGCTGGTCAAACTACAAGGTCAAACTCACGAGGTCAAAAATGTTATTACCCAAAGAAAGGTCCTGTCACAAGGAATACACATATTATATGTGGACTGATCTGAAAGCCCTAGTACCAACCATTCAGAAGTTAATTATTACCAAGGTTAAATTTGTTCAAAAGAAGGTCAAAATCCAAGATCATGAGGTCAAAAATGTAGACACTAACAGAAGGGACTTGTCACAGGAAATACACACGTGAAATATGAAAGCCCTAGTACTAACCGTTCAAAATTTATGACTTAGATTAAATTTCAAAGAAGGTAAAACAGGTCTTGTCATAAGGAATACACATATGTGAAATATAGGAAAGCCCTTTAGCACTTACCGCTCAAAAGTTATGATCAAGTTTTGCGGACAGACTGTAGGACAGTCTTAAAACTATATACCCCCGAATCTCCGATTGCGAGGCCATACAAAAGCTCGGGCGGAGGGGGCATATGTACGTGGAATTTTTTTTTTTTTATAATTCATATCCCTTATATACCTTTATATCCCTTGTAACTTAATACCATTTTGCATCGTGTCACTTAAAATAAACTCGCCAGTGGTTCTTACAGTGCCAGGGACTATTTTGATAGAATTCAACACATTTCAACTGGACTAAAAAGAACAGAATGCCAAAATATGAAATTTAAAATCCCGTATTGTATTACTTCTATTGACAGAACGCTCTGTGGATTATAGTCTTGTGGGGTTCTGTAAATCCCTTCTCGATCGTGCAGTGTTTGGTCGTTTTTTTAAACGAAGTACTCATAGAATTACATTGATTTGCTTTATTGAATATTGACATAGTTCCCAAGGCACCAAATTTTAGAATATTTGGACAGACATTTTTTTCTAAAGAATGTCATAAGATATCAGAAAGAGATAATATATTTAATATTGTAAATAATTTGTAATAGCACTTTTTAAAAATTGTAAATGAATTCCATTGCTACAGATCTGATAGGAAGGAGTGTTGGATAACCTTTATGCGAAATTACCTATTTGTCCTTCTTATGTTCAGTAGAGATACAGAAAACGCAAGGTGTTCAGTCGACAGTTTGAGAAAAAAGAGACAATAAGAGGTATACATCCTTCTCGATCCATTTTGTTTTTACTTAACGGCGGGTTTGAGTAGAGGGGCACACTCGCCCCCCCCCCTCTCTCTCCCCTCCTTTCCTCTCAAAATCTCAAAATTTTTAAATTTTCCCTGAACATATATATTCAAGAATTTAAAAATGCATTTTGATAGATTTTTAGTATCATGCATATTAACCACTTCTATGTACAGTCCATCAAATCCTTAAAGATAAATCCGATTTCATCCCCTTTTGTTTTACCTTTGTATTCATCCGATTCATTCATTAATTGATCTTTCCAACCCCCTCGATCTCACCAATGGAAATCAGGATCAACATAGCTCTGCCCCCCCCCCCCCCCCTCCGGTTAAAAAAAGTATCCACGATAAATGTTTACGATGCAGTCCATAATAAAAGTCTGGAAAAAATATACCAAAAACAATATCATTTACATTAATTATACGTGTACATTACACATATTTCCGTGTATCTTGCTGTATGATTTTAAAAATAAAAATAAAAATAAATTGCGGTATGGAGTAGTACATGTATAATTAAAAGTAATTTTATATCAGTTCCCATGCCCTATAGGGTCTTATAACTGGGGCAGGGAATTCCCAGCCCTCGGGCAGCTTTACCTATCACAGAGACCGAAAACATAAAGAATGTACTATACACTTGCTCGATTTTCTCCGGATATGATTTGCACATTATGAATGAAATCTTACGCAAGCAATTTAAATTTAGAATATTACTAAAAATCACGTGCACTTTGCTGTTATACATCCCATGGGGAACCCCCAAAATATATATTGATCGGGAAAAGGTCAAGGTAGTTGTCTGGAATTTTGTTCTCATTTGTGACCTGTACATTTTACATTAAACATTTCGAGACGATTTTAAGGGAGTCGTTCTAACTTAGACGCACATTTTAAAAATATTAATATTATAATTAAAAAAATTAAAAAAAAAACTGCTGTAGTTATTTCATGGTACTTAATAAAACAAATAAATTGTATTTCAAAAATTTTAAAGTGTGTGCAGGGGTAGGGGGATTCATGCGCGGATCTAGTGGTAGGGTCCCCCCCCCCTGGAATTTGCAGAGTTATTAAAAGCAAGTAAAAATGACTTTGGACCCCCTAGCTCCCCTAGAAAACGTGTACCCCACCACCACCACCACCACCACCATTTTCACGTCTGGGAAATGGATTTTACGTTGTTTTTTGTTTTGTTTTGTTTTTGTTTTGTTTTTTTTTCTTGCCAAGAAATTTTGAGGTGGGAAATTTTTTGACTGGGGTGGACCACTCCTGGAAAAAATTCCTGGATCCGCGCCTGGGATGTATGCATACAAGTACGCGTAAGAGTGTCGGTTAACGTCGATCTTTATCGTATCTCGCAGTGCATAAACCTCTAAAGTGCTGGATTGGAAGAGGGGGTAACAAAAAAGAAGGACCAAATACCCTTAGCACACCTAAGGCATTTATTTTATTTTCAGAGAGAGAGAGAGAGAGAGAGAGAGAGAGAGAGAGAGAGATATTTATTCGAAGAAAAAAATCTCAGTTACCGTACAACAAATATTCGTGTTTCAAATTATTTTGTGTCAAACTGCTTCGCTTTGAAGATTTTATATAATCATGACTGTATAATAAAATTTGAAGTCCTTTATCAAATCATTGCCAAATCCAAATAAATCATTCATTAACTTGTAATTGTTCTTTAGTACATTGATAATTTTTGCTAATCTTTTTAAAAGATCTTTGAGAAATTAAATTTCATACACATCCTTGAATGTCGTGATCAACTAGTATATGATTTAAAATACGATATTTTTTGTTAATAATTAACATTATGTATACATGTTTTGAACTTTAGGAAAGAGTATATGATACCAATATATCGGTTAGATATTTAGCCTAAACTACGTGTACAATAAGTTTCCGTAGAAGTATTAACTTTGCGTTAAAACAATAAATATTATGTCTTTTATTTCTTAACAAAAGATAAATGGCATGATTTTTATTTTGAAAGAAAATGAATGAAAGACATGTATTTGGTAAACTCAGGAGCTTCTGGGCCCTCACCAGCAGGCATGTAGTATCAGGGGGAGGGGGTTCTCTCCGCCCCTATTCCAAAATTAACCTTTTACTTTTGAAAATGTTCCCTGAAAGGGTGGTTGCCCCCCACCACTTTTTGTTGTAGCATAGTTAAATCATGGAATTTTGGTAATGTTTTAATATCTTTAATTTTGATTTGTGAAAAGTTGGAAATTACCCCCCCCCCCCCCGACCCCCTGTCGTTCTCTGCGTATACTTCACTTTTATTTTTGGCCACGCACCTGAATGAAATATTCCTATGATCAGATTCTTATTATATAACTTTTCAATAATTATTGAAAGACATTTCTTATTTATGGCACATATTACGATCAAAGTCTATTAACCGAAAAAAGATACTTAAATCAATGGTGCGAGGTGATGATGTATAGAAAAAGTTTCAGTAAAAATACTGTCAAATAAATATTATAATTTTTTATTGCATAATACCTTCATATGTGTCAAGCAATACAATTAATAATAATTATAGTGAAGGGAACACTATTGGTGACCGACTTCTGACCCCCCCCCCTTTTCACGTCTTTCAAAACATGCCGCTCTTTTCTCTTTAGTGTCCTCATGAATATTCATAATTTGTTTACATCCTGAACAATGAGTTTGCAAATAAACTGGGTCACTGACGTCACGTGTATTATGAAATACCCACCACGTCCGTGACCGACTTCATCAAAAAACTCTGAAAAAGATTAAAATATTTATATAACATATGTTATCAAATGTACAATGTTTCAATGGAAACAGTGGATATAAAGAAAATGATTTAAAAATAAAGAGAGAGATTTTTGGTCCCCATTTGGTACCTCACGAGCACTTTGAACGTGAAGTTAACCGGCTTGTCAGTGCGCATGTGTTGTAAATAGCTGAGTAGTGTGTGATAGTGGTTTTACAATTCAGCAGAATAATTCAAGAGAAGCACGTTTTAGCAGGTAAATTTTTCTCTTAAACTTTTTAGAAATGAAAATTTCTTTGACTTTGATAAAACCTTTGAGCTGTCATTTTCTTGTTATCATTAAATATCATATTTCCCCCAGGTACGTTAGTACTAGTTTGCATACTTTTATATAATAAATTTTGGTGTGTTGACTATGTACATTAATATATATATATATTTTTTTAATATAAGTTAATGTATAATTTAAATGTGTTAAAAGTGGCATGAGAAATGTAGGCCTAGACGTGTTTAGCTGACTACATGTACAGCTAATGCAGTGTTCTGATATATATATGTAAATACATGTATGTTTGTTAAAGGGTTTATTTAATCCCATTAATGTATGAACCTGTGATTTGGTAATGAATTGTGGATCCTTGGAAAAAGAAAAAAAATCTGAGAGATTTGATAGACTTTGGAAAAATACTGTCACAGTACCTATACATGTATATGAATGTTTGGCACTTATTCATTTGCTGTGCTTTATTTAAACACTCTAGCTGTTAATATACATGTAGTTGACTGTGGGCCCCAGAAGTTTGAATCCGAATTCTTCCTTTTGGTCAGCTTTCTACTGGTGTCAGTGCTGGGAAAGGATAGACATAGTTAAAACCGTTAGGGAGAGGCTGGGGTTAGAATTGTTTTCAGACTGGGTTAATATTATAGGGAAAGTATAATGGTGTAGTTCGGGGCATGAGTTTGCATGTTTACCTTTGTCAGATAGCCGCATTGTCTTTACTAACTTCATTTGCATTTTCTCCCTCACTGAATGTACATCATATCATCAAAGCATCTGATTTATCATTCATAGTTACATGTCCTTTTCACTCTGCAAGGTCAACATATTATTTCGTTGCTGAACATACAAGTGATTAACAAATACCAACATGATATATTTTGACTATGCATGAATGCTGTAGACTGTAGATGTTAGATGAGTGATTACTCAGAGAGAGAGAGAGAGAGAAAGAGAGAGAGAGATTTATTTTTGATAATGAGAAACATTGGAAACTAATATCATATTATTTATTTTTCAATTTATTTCAAACTTTTCGGTGCATGTTTATATTTTAAAGATCATTTTCTTGCTAATATACACTTATGTCTAATCACTAATTACTAATCACGCATTTATAATGTTTCAACTTCTGAAGAAAATACCCAGTAAATATATATATATAAAGATATTTTCTATGTAGACCTCTAGCTATTAAAAGCTTAACCGAGTTTCACTTGTTAAGTGTATGAATGTTATTGTCACTACTTGTTTTATCAGTGCCCTCATCCTGTGACACAGCGTTCTGTTATCAATAATCCTTTATAGTTTAAATAGACAGAAAACCCTGAAAGGTTGAGATGAAAAGTATAGTTTTGCTCCTCCTAGTTTATTGATTTTTGTTATAAAAGCCAATACAATGATAAATGATTGTTCTCAATAAAAGGAGGTCAGTATATCTATAACTCTAGGTCAAGGCTTTTTTTTCTTTTTTTACATACAGATGTTTTTAATGCAATACATGTAATTTGAGTAGTAGGTAAATAATTATGCTCAACTTTAAAATTGTAATTGTATACCAACAATGTCTATCGCAACTAAAAACAAAAAAAAATTCACATTGAAATATATATAAATTTGAATTGGTGCATGGAAAAAAATTAAGGCACAATTTATTTAAACTTGGAAATTTACAAATCTGAAAAATACAAAATATGTCCCAAAAATAAGTGTCATACATGTAGTAGTCTAGCTAAAGATATTTTGTAAACATTAAGCAGCGATATTGGACACTTAATGGATTATTTTTTCTTACTGAAGATGGTAACATATTAAATTGCTGACGTGTTACATACCCTGAATCTGCTGGGGTTTGCCCTATAACAAATATTTCTGCTAAGAATTAATATAGACTTAAGTTGAAAACCAAATACTTGAATAAATTGTTAGCATGAGTAAATGAAATGGCGTAAAAGCATTTTCTTTGCATCTCTGTGTAGGAGAGATTTTATATGGGTAATTCTTGTCACTGACCACTTCAATTAATGTCGATGTGGTGAGGGTATGTACAATATTTACATTAACTTGAAAAGACCAGCCATTTATCGTATGTATACACTGTTGAGTAGCTGTTCAAAGAAAAATCATTACCGAGCTACTTTTCAAAATATACTTTGAATAAAAAAAACGTGAATCATTAAAGTCCACTTAGGTAATGTAAATGTATGTCAAGCAAGCGTGTAAGACTTTTGTGTTAGGAGAGTTTATAGACCGTGAAGCCATCACCGATTTACGTAAATGATAATTTCCTTAAAAAAGTGCCAGGTTCCTATTGATGTAGGTGGTTGACCCCCAAAAAATTACCATTATTTGTTATGCCTCAACTGTCACATGAAATTCAGCTAGTAGCTAAAGATAGATGTGATGAAAAAAAAAATGAAATACAGGAAAATATATGTGTCGACACCACTCCTCAAATGACCAAAAAAAAAAAAAATCCATTCTCAAAATATCCTAAAATGTGGGGTTTCATCAGAAAGAAGTTTTAATGTTTCATCCTCTTTTTTCCTTATATAAATAGTTTTATCTATTCACATAAAAGTGCAGTTATGACATTTAAACATCAATAATTTTAAAATGTACAAAAATAACAGCTAGATTTTCTTCTCTGAAAAAAAAAAGAAATAAAATCGTGAATGCCCAGTCATGACTGAAAAATTAAAGATGCATCATGCATGAATCTACTTCAACATAAAATTCTATAACTTAATCACAGTGCTCTAAACACAGTCAAAGTATGATTGATGAGGGGTAAAAATAGTATATAAACTTGATAGTAATCTATACTGGGTGTATGTCTGGTATGCTATAATACTCTTGACACAGAAAACCAGGCCACACTGAGCTAGCAAAGTTTTGGTGCATAGGTACTAAGTTATGCATCCATTAACATTGTGTTTACAGAATACACGTGTTAAAGTGCGTGCCTTAATTCCTCATGATAAATCAGTTATATAAACCCAATCCAATGGTTGGAGTTTTGAAGTACACATGTATTTAATGTTCTTTTTAATAATTATGTCCCAAATGAATTGTTTTCTTAGATTTTATTTGTGAGTTATGAATTTAAAGCATCATGATGAAACAATTTTTTTTCCTACTAGCTGTTCTCTTGAGTTTTATTTGCAGTTTGTTAAATTGTGTTTCATTTACAATTAAATTATATATTTTGACTGTGATTAATACAATCATATATCAAGAAAGGTTATATAATATGTTTTAAATTACTTCAAAGAAATCTGCACATTGATTGTTTTCAGGGCAATTATCTGCAGTACAAACAAGTACCAGGGTACATGATAGCAGACTGTATACATGCACCTCACATAATAGGAAAAATCTGCACATATTCCAAGTACTTGATTACATTTTGTGTGTGTGTGTGTGTGTGTGTGTTCAAATAAATTATTATAAGACATCTCTTTCTACTTAAATATGAATTTTATTTCAGTTGAAAGTAAATCTCAAGACTATTGCAAGATTCATGCCTATGTTTGAAAAATTTCATGATAAAAATGGAGATTATATAAGGTATATGGGGAGTTGACATGAAGGAATTTGTAATTTTGTAATTCTTCTTTTAGAATTAAACAAACAAAATGTACAAGCCACTAGAGTTACCTCCCTGTAAGATCTGTGATGGTGAAGCTTCAGGAATTCATTATGGACTCAACACCTGTGAAGCATGCAAGGTCAGAGTTGGTTTGGGACTGGCATGTCCACTTACCTTTATAGCTTAGCACAGGGGGCTTATGGGTAAATTAACTCTGGCTTTGCTTTGAATTTTCATATCCAAGAAAATCTGCAAGTACATGTATTAGGTTAGTTAAGAATTAATGCAGAATCTTCTTTGAGCTGTCTGAATGTATGAAGCAACAATTATGTAAAGAGGAATTATGATTCGCCCTGTAAGAATTAAAACTTTTGAAAATATATATTATCATGCTCAACAAGAAAGCTTAATCACGAAAAAAAATTGAAAATAATTGTCTGAAATATAATTTAGGTACTCTGTTAAAAAAAATAATAATGAATTTAACATGAAATGTTTCAACTTTTTTTTCTACTCCAGGCATTTTTTCGCCGAGCTGTGATGGAAAAGGATAAGTACCAATGTGCAAAGGACAAGGACTGTAAAATTATCAACAGGAAAAGAGGAAATTGCTCGTACTGCCGGCTTCAGAAATGTCTCAATCTGGGAATGTCACGAGATGGTTTGTATTTATAGAAATTTTGCAATCCTATGTGACAAAACATAGATTTTATTTATTTTTATGGGGGAGGGTAGGGTTTGAAACTAATAGATTCTTTGAAAGGGAAGGGGATTCTAAAAGCAGCACATGGATGAAATTATCTTCCATGAAATATAAGTGTTAAAATACCTTGATAATATACTAGAATAATTATGTAACTCTAATTTTTTTATCCTCTCTTCTTTTGAGCCATTTGGCATTGGAAAAAGATTAAAAGCTTGAATTTCAAAATATGAATTATAATATGAAGGTTACTGATTTCAAAACCAGACAGGTACTTGTTAGAACAGAAAAAAAGTACTTGTGATTAGTGCCCAGGTAAATCCACATGTGAATGAATGACTTAATTATTAAATGCAGATTATTAATCTGATGTAAATGGTCTAATTCTGCTTTCTAGCTATGAGACATGGACGTTACACTGTTGCCATTCGAACCAAAACTATTCTGGAAGTGAAACAACTGAAACAAAAAGCAGAAACCATAAACCACATACCTGTCTTGGGGACCCCTCAGTTAGCAATCCCTTACACAAATGACTCTTCTATCCCAAAACTAGACAATCTCATCTCCATAGAGACAACTGACTCCCTCAACCAAGGGTCAGACAACTCTGTTCTATCCATGGAAATCCCAAACAGCATATCCATCCAAAGTATTTCCTCACAGTCAACAGACACCAGTACAGATTTCATCACATCTCCCACAGATTTCATGACACTGTCACCCCCTCAGTTACAAATGGACTGTTTGGCAGATTCTGACATGACGTCATTATTTGAAGATTTATCAACTTCATATCCACAACCCCAATCACAACACACTCAGATAAAGCTGGAAGATTTTGCTGACTCCTTATTAGATCAGCCAGAAACCTCTTTTGACATTTTGGAAGATCTGAATGTTTCCCTTCCCGATGTTTGTCCTGAGGTGGAAGACAAAAAAGAGATGCAAGACAGTCCAGGTAAAAACTGTGAATTTTGAAATGATGATAATTCATTGAGCTAGGTAGTTTCTATGTAAAAAATTATAAGCATTAATACTCGGAGAGTTGGAAAATGATTAAGATATAATTTTTTGTAATAGCTTTATCACCTACAAGAAGAAGTGCCAGAATAGCGGAGAAGCGACGATCTACTCTACAGGAATTCAAACTGGATGATGATCCGTGGCTTTCCACAATTGATCCGGATTTCTTTGCTGCAGCAGAGGATGTTGTGGTTCCCATAGCAAAAAAGCAAAGATCCAGTCAGTCAGAGTTTGAAATGTCTGTGGATGAAATGGAGCAGATGATATGGACTCTTGTCTGGAGTCAGGATCAAATATATCCGGAATACATCAATTCCTTTGACAAAGATTACATTAAAAAGCTGCATAATGAATATTCTGTAAGTTGTTCACTTGGAAACATTAAAAAAATGTGTGATTTAAGTTTTAAAGTGAAACATTTTAAGAAAATTGATCCATTTGCTTTTTAAAATCAAATAAATGTATTTCAATGTTGTCCTTTCAGGAGAAGTACAATATGAAAAATGAGTTCTTTGGCTTGAAGAAATTGTTGTCTCCCGAGGAATTCAACAGCTTCTACCTGGCTACAGGTATTGACGTTGATGGCCGCATGGAGATGCTCAAAAAGGCCATTGAACAAATCCAACAAGGCATCATCAAGTATATCTCGTTTGCCAGAATCATACCTGGATTTGAGGATCTTCCGACTGATGACAAATTAGCTCTCATAAAAGGTGGGTGAGCAGATGGACAGGCACTGTCTATAGTTTTTAAAGTTGGGGATGTATAATTTAGCTTATTTTTCCAGTAGTATCTAATTGTGTTTGTTTGAATTCTCAGTAATATTTACGTACATGTAAGTATGTATTCATTGTTCAACATGTATAAATGACTTCAATATATAAATTATTCACAGTTTCTTAAATTCTGGGGCTTTATTGAAAAAGAGAATGCAGTTAAAATTATGACTGCTTGTTATTTTCCTGCTATACTGTATCACACACATTTTCATGTATGCAAAAATTTAGAAGGGTTATAAAAAAGATGTTTTAGATGTGTTGAGATAACCGGAAAACCTGAAACATTTCTAGTTCCAGAGGAATATTTTAGATTCTTCTCCTCTTTTCAGCTTCCCGTTTTGAGTACTGGTTAATGGGTGAACATCTACACATCAACACCGAGATGAAGGTCATTTACTACCCAGACACCAAGGCCCAGCTTACAAGAGATGACATCATCATGATCTTCGGAGAACCAGAAGCTGTGGACCAATGTATTGAATTTGCTGCATCTTTACAAAAACTCAAGTTGACATATGAAGAAGTAGCAGTCCTCAAAGCCATCGTTATCACCTTCAGAGGTAAAAAAATAAATCTGCTACGAGTACATATGCTGTTGAATGAATGAAACTTCAGAAAAAGATTCCTTCTTATAAATACTAAATTAATTCTTAAATTAAAAAAAAGTTGAAAGGGACATGTTTCTGTTTTACAAAATGAAGTAAAACATGTTTATTGCAAACAAGCTTATTTATTTATTGAAATTTATGCTTACAGCAAAGTGAGTTCCATCCTTGTGGCATTAAAATATTTCATGAACTTAACACAAATAATGAATTACTTTAATCGTTCATCCCTGGCACTTTGTTAGAAGAGCGTTTTACTGTATAAGGTACAGGATGGATAAGGGGAGGTAACTTTAGTTTTGTTTCTGACTTTCAGACCGGGAACCTTTACAGTGTCCTGAGAAAGTAGAAGCAATCCAGTGGAAGTTGGTACAGTGTTTGAAATACTTGATAAACAAATTCCACAAAGGCGAACCACATCGCTTTTCTTCCTACATGGACAAACTGATCACCATGAGAAAACTGACTGAAATCAACAGGAAAGTGAACGGTAGAATGGAGAGCCTCCACCTGTCCATCATGAAGCGATATCCCCTCGTGTACGAGTGTATTTCCCATGATGCCAGAGAAAACCAGAGAGATGAGGAAAATCAAAAGGCTCAGCTCGAGTTCATCAAGGAGACCTGTACTACATAGACAAGTTTTGCATGCAGGATGTTTAATATTTTTTGTATATTTTATGAAGTGGTTTTGTTCATTACTTTCACATAACAAAAAAAAATCATCAATTTTCCTTAATGATTTGTTCAAGTTACAAACACTTAAGGATCTTCTTAGTGGATATATAAAGAGTCGTTAAATTTTAGTCTAATTACTTAAGTTACAAAGTAAAGAGTATACCTTGTAAACTTTAGGAATATGGACTTGTATGTAGTATGAGGGATTTGTCTATGCAAATTTTCTCTGAAGTGTATAGTTATGACATCATTATCCAAGCTGTAGAGACAGTGTAAGCATACTTAATTTTTGCAGTGATCTTATTTTGCATTTTTTTCCATTAACTTTAAACCATTAACATGTTTATACATGTATCTGACTATCTGGTATTCGAGCACTTGTTTAAAAGAATTGTCAAAATGCATTATTGCATTGTTACAGGTTTTTGTTGAAAGATGTAATAAATTTTCAATTGCAATAAAATAAGTATGTTTACATATTTCAAAGTGTAGATTAAAAGTGCGTAACATAAGTTTAGGAAGATATATTTAATAAGTAGATACAGTTGAACCTCGGTATCTGGTAGACCATCTCATATACCATGTATATGTTGAGTAATTTGGAAGTTAACCACATTTAAGTATTTCACCCTTGATATCTCGAATCCTCAGATATCTTGAAGTTTTTTCTCAATCCCATTTGAGATAACGAGGTTTGACTGTATAAGTAATATTAGATTCTAAAAGTAAAAAGTTATTGCATCTTTAAAATTTTGAATTGCACAGATTTTGAGGTTCTATTGCTTTGTGCTTGTGAGATTTATGATTTGTTGTAATATGTAACTAAGAAATGTGTGTTTTGTTCTTTAACTAAACCTTTCTTACACATATTGATTTTAATTGAATTAGAAAGTATATTCTACAATGTATTGGAATGAATAAGGAAACTCCTAGGTGGGTTTTTTATATGAATTCTAGTGATTTTTGGTATGCTGAATCAGCCACATATAGAGTAATACTTAATTATCATTGCAATTTATTTTACTTACTTCCATCAAATTTGTTATGTGTTATAGAATTATATATATTACATTGTACTAATTTTTTAATCTGTATAACTTTGTCTGTTTTTGTTGCTGTTAAAAATATATACCAAAATCATTTGAACACTTAGTTTTTAACAGTATCAAATATGTCCATGGTTATCAGTTATTTAATCAGTGCATCAGTCTTGAAACTTAAGTAAGCTAAATTTGGTATCCACTGTATCGAGTCTCGCTGGTTTCAGAGTATTGGAGTTGAATTTCCATATCTCAAACACTGTTATCTTCAATACCAGGGATTCTTTATTTATACCTTATTCTTTATGTCACCCTTGTTACCTCAAATCCTCAGATATCTGGAACTTTAATCTTGGTCCCATGTAGGTCGATATAACAAGGTTTGACTGTATTTGGAATACCATTGGATTGTCGTTATTTAGCTTTATGCAACAAATCCATTGAATTTCAATTTTAAAATAGTATGAAAACATTCTATCCAGAAAAGAAAGGTACCCATGGACAAAATCCCAGCTGTATACATTATCCAGTGTCAAAGACAATAAATGGCATTTATTGAATTTATAATGAATAATTTGCATAAATCACATAAACTGCTATTTTGAAAAACAACCATCTAATTGTTCTTAAAATATATTATCTGTTACTTGTTGAAGAATTCTTTTTAATATGTGCCATTTCTTTCTTAAGGGTTTGCATCTATAAGTATTAAAAGAAAAGATGAATATATAAACTTGGGACTATTTGGGGCATTTACTTACAGTAAATATTGTTGAATTGTTATATATTTTTATTCTTTACATTTTAATATACTAAGAAACATTTTTGTACATAAATATATACATTATTTGTTGACTATTTCCTTTTTTGACCTCATGCACAAGAAGGCATAGGTAGCAAATTTTTTGTTTGCATTAATAAAAGTTAGTAAATTAAGTTTGACCTCTTTTTATTTGCACTTTTAGGAAGGTTGTTCAGTGCTATGGCATTGACTGTACAGTTAAACATGGTTCCAGGATAGTCAAATTGCTTCGATCAGGTTAAATACCATATTTCATAATACCAAGTCATTTCTAGCTACAGATGAAAGAATTATTATAATTCAACATGATTGTGAATCACTTTATTCATGCTCAATACAAATTATCCTGTATCTATATTGAGTTTTTCTCTGAATGGACCATATGCTCAACAGCATTTAAGGAAAGTTTTGAGGAAACAATTGAGCTGAAATTATGGATTGCACTGATAAGTAAAAAAATAACCTGATCCACATACTAGTAAATGATTAAAGAGTACCATGGGCCACATTGCTCACCTGAGCACTCTGGCTAAAGAAAAGCAGAAATCAGTTCCCCCCTGGAGGGGGAATGATTTGAACAAACTTGAATCTATACTTACCGAGAATGCCTCCATATATTTTGCCTGATTATGGCTTAAGAAGAATTTCAAAGATATTTTCCTATATATTTCTATATAAAAATTTGATCTATTATGGCCCCGCCTACCCCTGGGGGTCATGATTTAAACAAATTTTAATCTACGCCACCTGAGAATGCTTCTATATTAATAAGACTAATCATGGCTTTGCTGTTCTCGAGAAGACGATTAAAATTTTTTCCTATTGATAATATATTCCTATAAAAACAATTTTGATCACCTACATGTATTTGTGTCTCCAACCTATGCCCAGATATCATGATTTGAATAAACTTAAATCTACACTACCTGAGGATGCGTCCATATCAATATGACTACCGGTATTCATGCCCTATATCAATATGAATATTCATGCCTTTGCTGATCTTGAGTAGAGGATTGGTAAAAAAAAATTCCTATATATTCCTATAATAAACTTTGACTGTCCATTGTGGCTGATTCTCGTTTGTCATGTCGCATCAAACCTAAGACATAAACATAGGTCCATATGTAGTGACTATTCCTTTACCAAGCACCAAGCATTAGAAGTGAAAGTCACGGGTCTTTCAGACGAGACCTTAAAAACTGAGGTCCCATATCAAGGTACGCATTAGCACAATGAAGAACCCTACTTGCTCAATGGCCCTGAGTACCAAGTAAATTTGAAGCTCTTCACTGGTATATGGTGACATCTCTACATTGAAGTGAAAAAAATCTAAAATGGTATGAAAATCATCATAAAATCAATTAATCAACTCTTCTGGCCCAGCTGTTCATGAGAAGACTGTTTTAAAAGATTATTTCTGATGTATTCCCATGTAAAACTTTGATTGCCTATTGTGGCCCCAAGTACCCTACCCCTGGGGGTCATGTTTTGAACAAACATTACACTGAAAATTCTTCCATATAAGTATGACTTTTCATGCCTTCGTTGTTCTTGAGAAGAAGATCTATAGATTTTTTCCTACATATTCCTATGTAAAACTTTAATCGCCCACTGAGGTTCCACCATAACCCTGAGTAAACTTGAATCTACACTACCTGAGAATTCTTCCATATCAAAATGACTAATCATGCCTTTGCTGTTCTAGAAGATTTTTTCCTACCAGTATATATTCCTATGTAAAACTGTTAATTGCCCATTGTGGCCCCACCCTACCACATGGGTCATGGTTTGAAAAAGGTTGAATCTACACTATGTAATGAAGGTTTCACATAAGTTTCAACTCTTCTGGCCAAGTGGTTCTTGAGAAGATTTGTAAAGATTTTTTTTTCTGTATATTCCTATGTAAAACTTTGATTGCCTATTGAGGCTCCTCTAACCCCCACCCCCTTCCCATCAAGATTTGAACCAACTTAATTTACACTATCTAAGGATGATTCCACACAAGTTTCATCTTTTCAGGCTCAGTGGTTCTTGAGAAGATTTTTAAACAATAACATTAAATTTTCACTAGTTCTTTATTATCTCCCCTTGGAAGAGGGCATGGCCCTTCATTTGAAACAAACCGTTCTTTCAAGGATACTTTGTGGTGAGTATATTTAAAATTGGCCATGTGGTTCTTGAGAAGAAGTGAAAAATGAGAAAAGTTTACAGACAGACAGACAGATGGAAGCCAGACAAAATGTGATCTGAAAAGCTCACTTGAGCCTTTGCCTCAAGTGAGCTAATAATATATAAAAAGATCCAACAACACAACACTGTTCTTCACTTTAATAAAAAAAAAAAAAAACTTCCTTGAAACTTTAACTGATTGTTATATACGTCAAGTATAAAGTCACATTTAATTTTTCAAAGGAAATATGAGTCAGTTATTGGTCACATACATGTATGAATCATCCATACAATCACGTAACATATTGTCCATACTCTACAAACATACATAAATAGCATAGCATACACATAATCAACTGAGCTGGAATATCATAATCACCCAATTTATACAAAGAAAATCAATATACAAATGTATCACATTTTACCCATCTTGGTTCAATAAACTAAGTACACAAATAACAGTTAATCAATATTTGGAATGTGAATTTAAAAATCATGAGACCCATTGGCCACATCGCTCACCTGAGCACACTGGTTAGGAAAAAGCACAAATCAGTTCAATATTGAAAAGTTTACATAGAAGGGGGGAAAGGGGGACTTGAATTTTAAACTATCCAAGGATGCTTCCATATCAATATATAAAATGGCTTTGCTGTTTTTGAGCAGAAGATTTTTCAAGAATTTTTCCTATTTATTCCTTTGTAAAAATTTGATCCCCAATTGTGACCCCACCCTACCCCAGGGGACATCATTTGAACAAACTTAAATCTACACTATTTAAAGGTTTCCTATAAGTTTCAACTTTTTTGACCCAGTGGTTATTGAGAATTTTTATACATGCCAGCAAATTTTTCACTATTACTGAATTATCCCCCCTTGAATGAAGGCATGGATCTTCATTTAAACAAACTTGAATCCCCTTTACCTAAGAATGCTTTGTGGCAAGTTTGGTTGAAATTAGCACAGTGGTTCTGGAGAAGATGTCCAAAATGTGAAAAGTTTACAGACAGATGGACAAACTTACAGACAAAATGTGATCAGAAAAGCTCACTTGAGCTTTCAGCTCAGGTGAGCTAAAATGTCAGGGATGAACAACATAATTAGTCTATATTCAGCAACAACTCAGAGACAATGAAAGTACTTTCATCTTATTAAAAATTCTTGTATAATTCTTTTATTCAATATTTCTAATCAATTACAACATCTACATTGATTACTTATCATAAGTGAATTATAAAGGGGAATAACTTCTCTTAATACCCATACATGAGAGACCCACCCCAACAGCAGAACCCTGGTCTCAGGAGTCATAAAACATCTTAAGCTTAAGTCAAAATCTTTATTTTATATTAAAATGTTGTAGAAGTCAAGCAGACCAAAATTAAAATATTTTTCAATGTTGCTTCACAAAAGTGTTGTTATCTGCAAATTTAGAGATAAATTCAATAATTAATAAATATTTTATAGGCGATTGAAAATTTGACTTAAGTCTAAGTCTGTTTCATGATCCTGGGGCCTGGTCTCAGGAGCCATAAATTTCAAAATTTTGGAAGCACTCTTTCTTATCATAATCATGCTCAATGTTTCTCAAATACCCAAGAGCAGAGAAGATTTTCAAAGAATAAATGCATTTTCACTATATGATCAAAAGAGACCCTGCACTAACTCCAGAACCCCTCATCCAGGGATCACAATATGGAAGAGACATCCTTGCTCATCATAACCATGCACTTAGTTTATCTGATTAAATACCAAGGACAGAGAATAATAATTTCAAGAATAAATGCATTTTCACTATATGATCAATAGAGCATCACCTTAATTCCTGAACCACTGACCCTGGTGCCATGAATTTCAAATTTTGAAAGAGGCACTCCTGCTCATTATATTCATACACTTAATTTGTCTTCTAAATACTCCAGTGCAGAGAAGATTTTCTTAGAATTGATGCATTTTCACTATATGATCAATAAATCCCCACCAGAACACCAGAACCGATGCTCCAGGCTTGCTGATCATACTGTTCAAGTTTGTGAATAAGTTCTATTGTGAGCGCTATTTGCATGAAACCAGTAAAACTCTGCAGATAAAAACTAAACATATTTTCCAATAAATATACAAAGATTAGGTGTTTTCCGATGATCTTTAAACATTATACAGCTTTATTATTTAGATAAAACATGCTTTAGAAAGCATGTCACTTTTTCGCACATTTACATTAAACAGATATTTTATTGAAATTAAAATTTTCACTGTTGTACAGATTCATGATATTATTTGTCACTACAATATTCATGAAATGTCATTTGGCGAAATGTTGAATTAAATTGGAGGAAATATGACTGTTGTATGATTAATTACAGATGATAAGTGCGTAAAAACAAAGTCAAGAATAGCAACTTCATTGAACGTCTTGGAGCACCTAGCTACTAAAAAATTATGTTCACAGAAAGGAAAATGTCAGAAAGAGAATAATTTTTTTTCATCTGCTGCTGGAGATCGCCTACACGTATCTAGGGCCAAAGTGTTCTAATTGTAGTGGCTTTGTATATGAAAGGATTGACATTTTTGATGATCAACTCCTGTGATACCTCAATACCCCCCTTATCGCATGGAAGTTGCGACTATGGGTTCTGCATTGTTTCCATACCTGATCGCTTAACTGCTAGTTTTGATTTAAAGATTTCATTTTATCCAATACGCCACAATAGACATTAGAAAAAAGTAACATGTCTTGCTATAGTTAATATTTTTGTTGAGAAGGAAAAATACATGAAAAGTTTACAGAACTGAAAAAAGCTTAGGACTGTGAAAAAGGTTAACAGGTTTGGAGTCAGATTGTCAATAATGTCAAAAAACGTAAAGTGATTGTTCCATGAATCCTATGACCGCACTGTAAAAATCAATGTATATTTTCATCATTTCAGTAAATGCATCTCATTTTTTACATACTGATAAACAAAAAATTAGAATTTAATCAGACATACGTCATTCTTCAAAGTACACAATAAATTTTCCATAAATCAATGTGTCAGCCAACTTTTCTAACAACCCTCATATAACGGATATTTTCTGTGGTTGTCCAATATTTGCAGCATTCTGCAGAAAGAGCAAATCCGCAAAAATAACAATCGCAAATATTCTGAAAATATCAATATATTTCGTAAATGCGTCATCATTTTTTTCCAATGCTGTAAATCAAGTGTATGTCAAGGTAGCTCTTTCCCTGATTTTACCCATTTAAATTTTTATAATTGATTTCTATAACTGAAGAAATAAATGTTATTTGAAAGCAATTCACAAAATAAACGAAAAGTAGAAGAGCAGCAGACCTTCTTATCAGTTCCTAATAACCCTGACCATGATCATGTCAATCAGTGTAAAACACTGTAGTATTGTTCCAAATTTAACATCGGGTAGTCATTTCCTGAAAGTGAATTGTGTGTGGTATATTGCATCCGCAGAAATTAAAAACGCAGTTTGCTACCTTTCAGAGGTCAAATTGCAAAAATTTCCAACTGCAGAAAATATGTGTTAAACAGTATCTATGGGCTTAGCTTGTCTGCTAAATATACAGGAGGAGAGAAGATTTTTTAAAGAATTTATGCATTTTCACTATATGATCAATAGAGCCTCACCCTTACACTGGAACCCCTGACCCTGGGGCTATGAATCTAAAAATTTTGGTAGAGGGCTCAATGCTTATTACATAATCAATCAACAGTTTGACTGCTTGATGTCCAGGAGTAAAGAAGATTTTTAAATATTGCATTAATTTTGAGATTTTAGCCCCACCCCTCAGCCATGGAGGGGGGGCAAGATCCACATAATTCTTAATTTTGTACCCTTCACTCAAAGACGCTATATACCAAAATTCGTTGAAATTGGTCAAGATGTTCCAGAGAAGAAGCTTATAAAATGTTTAAATGTTAATGCATGGACAATGCACAGCAATGGACAGGGAGCAATTATAGGTCACCTGAGTGATTCAGGTGACCAAAAAATGAGACTGTCACAGATGGTCTGCAGGATGGATGATAGGTATGACCAACAATCTTTCACTGTTTGTCTCAGTCATAAATAGGAAAATAAGACGAACTTTTCAAAAATAATGTTCTCCTGGCCTACCTTGATGTATGACCTTAACCTGATCCAAAGCTAAGACCTTGACCTTCCAAAAACATTAAACAATACACAGGTGATGACCAAAAAAGATGAAAGTTGAACCAGAGACTATAAACACATGCTCCTAATTTCCTTTCTTAGAGACAATATACATTCATTGACTGGTTTCAAGGGCAACATGCATTTTGTTGAACCCAAGAACCAAACTGTTTGCCTGAGGCTGATAGTCTGAAGGCACATAGTTCGGTTCAAGGGGTTGACAAAATGCATTTTGCCCATGAACACAGTCAATAAATGTTTTGTTGTATATCGTGACATGTCTTGCGCTGGCTTCCATTTTTGCAATAATTAGTAAAATATAGCTGATTCCGCCTACAGTGCGATGTAAAAAACCTCAAAATGGCCCAGTATCTCATTGACAGGCCCAATATCTCACTCAGCGGTCCAAAATGGATTTTTTTGGACCACTTAGTAATACATAGGAAATGTTTAGCATAGACTTTTATTAGTATAGATTTATATAGAAAACAATTTTTAAAGGTACATGTATAACAAAATAAATTTTCAAGGATCATCATTTAACAAATGCTCAGTGAGATTCAATTTATTACTACGTGTATCAATGTTTTACTGTTTACCGGTAAATTCCAAAATTTTGAGAATAAATCTATTTGTTAATAGCTAAATTCTTTTTAAATCTGACCATTTGTGTCATGAATTTTTTTGGCTTGTGAATTATCAATGGCGAGTAAAAATCACAAAAACAGCTGTATTTAAAGTACACTACAGCTACCAGCAACACCTCTTTGGTCAATATCACATAATAAAAATTAATGGTATTTACTGAGTCTTCAGTTTAGACATGGACTCCCCCAGTGCCTCGTATATGAGAGGATACTCCTTCATAATGTCCAGAGTGTAATCATCGTATTGTTTTTTCTGGGATTTTTGACGCACCTCACTTAGGTCTCGTAAATCCACAAGAATTTGCAGGCATTGAGAAAACTTTCTTGGTTCATCGGGATGAAAGAGTTCCAAAAGGTACTTTAAACATTGGATTAACCTCCACTGAACTGATTCAACTAAATCTGCATCATCCAAGGCACTGCGATCTACAGAGAGTTACTTTATACATTCAGATGGGAAACATTAATGGGGAGAGAACACTTAGAGGCATATATGCTTGCTGTTTGATCCTATTCATGTGTAATGAATAAAATATTTTTTAAACAAATGGGACACGATATCTTAAAAAAAAGACACATCTTGCAAAATCCTAAGTGATATTCAATTCCTTGTTTTTTAGAAAGAAATCTATTGAAGAATATGCTAAAAGCTCATTATACAAAAGATTCTCAATATTTGTTATTTTTTGCTCATGAAATCATTAACTTAATTCAGAAATTACAAATCTTCAAAATTGATATTCATTTTCATACCAAAGATTGCATATTTAAGGACTTTTTCTAAGTTTTGTTTGTAATGAGTTAATATTGGTGTGTAACAGGGATGGGGTAATTGAAAAAAGTAATTGTAATTGACTGTAATTAATTACATTTTTTGAAGTAATTGGAAGTAATTTGTAATTGAACATTTTTTCAATTACTTGTAATTGTAATTTAATTAATTACACTGAAAAAATACCATGTAATTTCAATTACTTTTTCAATTACATTCAATTACTTTACATAATACACATTCATGATATATTCATGATATATCGTCACCACTACCTCCCCATTTTACTGGTTTTTATTTTATTGTTAAACATATCCTCAATCCTTCATTTATACAAAATCTTAGGTTAATGCTTACAAAATAATTAAATGATTGGCTTGATAATAATAAACTATTTTCTTTCTAATCATTATGTAAAATTTGAATTTTTTGATCTATGTTTATAAACATGAATTTTGAACCACCTATCTTAGGTCTATTCAGCTATGAAACACACATTTATTATATTTCAATCTTTGTTGTTTGATCAATAATAAAGAACAAGAGGCCCATGGGCCACATCGCTCACCTGAGCACATTGGCTAGGCAAAAGCACAAATTAGTTCAGTATTGAAAAGACCGGGGGAGGGGGGGGGGCTTGAATTTTTAACTACCTGATGATGCTTTCATGTCAATGTAACAAATGGCTTTGTTGTACTTGAGAAGATTTAAAAAAAAAATCCCATATATTCCTTTGTAAAAATTTGATCCCCCATTGTAGCTCCTCCCTATCCCAGGGGTCATCATTTGAACAAACTTGAATCTACACTACCTGAGGATGCTACCATATCAATATGACTAAACATAGCTTTTCTGTTCTTGAGAAGAAATATTTCTTCTTTATTTTCTTATGTTAAACTTTCCATTCCCCATTGGGTCCCACCCTACCCCTGCGGGTCATCATTTGAACAAAATTGAATCTACACTACCTGAGGATGCTTCCATATCAAAATGACTAATCATGGTTTGCAGTTCTTCAGAAGAAGATATTTTCCTTTATATTTCTATGTAGAACTTTGATCCTCCATTGTGGCCCCGCCCTACCCCCGGGGGTCACGGTTTGAACAAACTTGAATCTACACTACCTGAGGATGCTTCCATATAAATATGACTCATCATGGCTTTGCTGTTCTTGAGAAGAAGATTTTTAAAGATTTTTCCTATATATTTCTATGTAAAACTTTGATCCTCCATTGTGGCCCCGCCCTACCCCCGGGGGTCATGGTTTTTACAAACTTGAATCTACACTACCTGAGGATGCTTCCATATAAATATGATTCATCATGGCTTTGCTGTTCTTGAGAAGAAGATTTTTAAAGATTTTTCCTATATATTTCTTTGTAAAACTTTGATCCTCCATTGTGGCCCCGCCCTACCCCCGGGGGTCACGTTTTGATCAAACTTGAATCTACACTACCTGAGGATGCTTCCACATGAATATGACTCATCATGGCTTTGCTGTTCTTGAGAAGAAGATTTTTAAAGATTTTTCCTATATATTTCTTTGTAAAACTTTGATCCTCCATTGTGGCCCCGCCCTACCCCCGGGGGTCATGGTTTTTACAAACTTGAATCTACACTACCTGAGGATGCTTCCATGTAAATATGATTCATCATGGCTTTGCTGTTCTTGAGAAGAAGATTTTTCCTATATATTTCTATGTAAAACTTTGATCCTCCATTGTGGCCCCGCCCTACCCCCGGGGGTCATGGTTTGAACAACCTTGAATGTACACTACCTGAGGATGCTTCCATATAAATATGATTCATCATGGTTTTGCTGTTCTTGAGAAGAAGATTTTTAAAGATTTTTCCTATATATTTCTTTGTAAAACTTTGATCCTCCATTGTGGCCCCGCCCTACCCCCGGGGGTCACGGTTTGAACAAACTTGAATGTACACTACCTGAGGATGCTTCCACATGAGTTTCATCTTTCCTGGCCCTATGGTTCTTGAGAAGAAGATTTTTAAATGATGCCATTATTTTTTCAGTAATTCCTAATTATCTCCCCTTGAAAGAGGGCGTGGCCCTTCATTTGAACAAACTTGAATCCCCTTTACCCAAGGATACTTTGTGGCAAGTTTGGTTGAAATTGGCCCAGTGGTTCTTGAGAAGAAGTCGAAAATGTGAAAAGTTTACAGACAGACAGACGGACAGACGGACAGACAGACGGACGCCGGACAAAATGTGATCAGAAAAGCTCACTTGAGCTTTCAGCTCAGGTGAGCTAAAAAGAAGGTGTATGTCATTAATTAAGTTCTCTCTTGTTGGGAAGAGATAATTGCCCTCCAAATCACAGCTTTAAATTGCAATCAAAACAAATCAACTCCTCTAAAGAGATATTCATTCCATGATTTAGAAGACAAAGCCAATGAAGATAATTATTTCAATTTAAAATGCTCCGCTAGCTTTAGAAAAAAAAAACAACCTTTCAATTTGATAATTATTTTAACATCTAAACAGATTTTTATGAATGAATTTTCTATCTGTACAATTCTGATTTATGAAGTAAAATTGTTCAACATAAATAGCAATTTAGGATGTTCAGGTTACCTTCAAAGGAAATATTTAATTTGAGGGGTTACAGTTGCGACTCATTTCACTCTACTAAAATACTTACTTTTAATCAAATATCATAAGCCATGCAATTTGTGTACATGTAGGTTTTGTGTGGTGGAAACTGCATCAAACTGATCTCGGATAGTTCTTTAAGGAGATTCTTATTGTTTTGTAAATAAATGTTATAAAATTTAATTCAACCAGAACGATACACAATGCCTATAACATATTATTTCTAGTACTGTTTGTGCAGAGGCTGAGCTTATATACAAATAAATGATGTTCTGTATATTCATTGACAAGGATTATAAAAATTTTCAAAAAATTAAATGTAATTTGTAATTTAATTAATTACTTTTGCAAAGTAATTGTAATTTAATTAATTACATGTCTTAGAAAGCCTGTAATTTAATTGTAATTTAATTGAAGAAAAAGTCAAAGTAATTGTGTGTAGACTTGTCATGTAGGTATATTTCATGAAGTGTCCTAGCACTTCATGAAAAATATGCCTAAGTGCAAGTCTGTGTGATTTACACACCAATAATTCCCACAAAACTTAAAAACATTCCCAATATTTACATTTTACATTTGAAAGCAGCAAAAATACACTTGGTGTTTGAATTTCTCGCTGCCCTGAATTGTTCATATTTTTATTAATGTTTCTGAAGCCTCAATGCCATGTCACTTTAGCGCAAGTTTCTCTGTGTATATTTACAGAAAAATGGCATTCAAATCAATTTCATAGTTGGTTTAGTAAAAAAAAAAAGCAAATGTAAATATTTGGCAGTATGATTAAAACCAGCCCCAATCTCCTATTGTCGACAAAGATAGGAGAGGCATATTAAATTGCAGTCTGAAATTTATTCACAAGGTATGATGGAATGAATATCACATATCAAAGAAAATCTTTCAAGCCTTAGCTATTTAATGACAAGGGCACTGATTATAACTTGCATCAAATGCTATCTTTAGCATTTGATGAAGTTAGTAAATATGAGCATTCCTAACAAATTTTAAAGCACTTTAAGATGTGTTTACATTATTATGACCAGCAATTCTTTTCTCTCCTGCAGTAAGAAGTTTAAAATATACCTCTTGAGAACAGAACAATTCCTCGCATTAGTATAACCTCTTGATACATGAAGTTCATTTCTCGCAGTGTGTTGAACATTTTCAGCATTTCTTCGGAATGAGACTGTCCAAATAACTTGCTATGGTTTTCAAATGTCATCTGAATTTCATTTCCGATGGTGGCCTTTAGGTCTGGATGGTAGTGAGTAAAGTGTCCCAGTATCCAGTATTCATGCTCCCCATCTGAATCAAAAGTCTCTTGTAAGACTGTAGCTCTACTGGATAGTACTTGTAAAGAAAGGGGGAGGGGTATCACCTGGACTTGAACTTTAGTTTTATATACATTTACAGAATAATGTTTTCTGATGTTTTCTAAACATGAACTATTAAAATCAAATCAAAATTTTAGGAGGAGTGGCAATATTTTGAAAGATTTTTACATACTAGTATTTTTTCAGTAGCCAAAACAATGCAGATAAATAGAATAATGAACCTAAGTTAGTATACATGATATTTTACTGAAATAAGACCAAAACTATAGGAGTTGAAACATTTTGAAAGAATTCCACAAAATACAGCAATTCTATTTTTATGAACAATTTCAATTCTGTTATTTGAAAGTGAAATTGTGTATTATGATGTACATGTAATATACCTGCGTTCCAAGTTCAACTGAAATCAAATTAAATCTGTAGGAGGAGTGGCATTTTGAATGAATTTCACAGAAATTACAATTTTCGATAACCACGGCAACACTATTTTTCAAAATATTTAAAAAGTTATGTAAGAAATGAACTCTACTTAAGTACCAAGCTCTATTGAAATGGTATTAAAACTAATGGAGCAGCATTTTTAAAAATTATTCACAGATGGGCAGACAGATAACTGACAGACAGACACTTTTCATTGTATAAATTCTTCTGGTCTCTAAGCAGCAGAGCAAATAAATATTCTCAGTTTGTAATACTGGCTAAAAATTAAACATGAAATATGCAGTATAAAAATTATCCCAGAGACTATCTAAAATATGTGTAAATTATTTGTATTCTCTAGGTCAATTTTTAATTCAGCCATTGAAATTACTGGTAAGTGCATATATAAACATACATGTAGGTAAATTAAGTACTGAAAGTTGTTTTAATTCCACGGGGTTAAAATTTCACGATTTCTCAAAAAGTACCAATCGCAATGCTTTTAATTTCATGCTGCAAGAAATTAATTTAAATTTGTATAAGCATTTAAACATTTTTAAAAACTAATGATAGCATTCACTATGGGTTTAATTTCGTGGAAAAATGATGAATTGCGAACATAGTGAAATTAAAACCATCATGATTATTTGCAAATCTACAGTAATCAAAGATTACATAGCTCACCTCAACAAATGTTATCTTTAAGTAAGACAAAGTCTCACACTAAACAAATATTCTGGTTTGTACATACTTAGATGCAACTTTTATGCAAGTTTGGTCTGGGTAGGAATTTTACATGTAGTTACTTGGAACTGGACTTGCTCCTAAAAATTTTTTTGTTCAATCAACCAGAAAATGTAAATAAGGTGCAGCATCCAAACAAGTCTGCCAGACTTTGTTGAGGTGAGCTAAATAAGGGTTATATTTTTTATAAGTGTAAAGGGTACTTACATTTAACCAGGCTTATTTTATCATTCATGCTAAGATCCGTAAAACCCTCAATACACTTAGCAAAGGTGAAGTATTTCATCAGAGACCTCTCGCGGTGACTGTACATCTTTTTCAGCAACTCCAATCGACCATCTACATCTATACCAGTGGCTCGGTAAACTTTTTCAAATTCATCTTTATCAAGTAAACTCTTAATTCCAAAGACATCCTCCTGAATCTTCTGATCAGCCTACAGAAGATTTCACATATATCTGTTTAATTAGTACATGCATGAACTAAGTAAGTTTGATTTAATGACAGCTGAACTTATATTTAAACTAGAAATATGTCCATAGGACTTGAATGCCCTGCCGAGGGTATATCAGTAATGCAACTATTTTAATACAAATTGAAAAAAGTGAGGTCAAGGTCAAAGGAAAGGTCAAGGTCAAAAATTGTTGACGCAGTTGAAAAGGTTACATCAATATGTATTAGCATATGAAGTTTGATAAAAATATTATGAATGGTTTCTTTAAAACTGAGCTAAAAACTAATTTAAGAAAAGTGAAGTCAAGGTCAAAGGAAAGTTCAAGGTCAAAAAATATTGATGCAGTTGAATAGCTCTCATCAGTATGTATCAGCATATGAAGTTTGACACTAATTTAAGAAAAGTGAGGTCAAGGTCAAAGGAAAGGTCAAGGTAAAAAATATTGATGCAGTTGAATAGTTCTCATCAGTATGTATTAGCATATGAAGTTTGTTAAAAATATCTTGAATGGTTTCATTAAAACTGAGCTAGACACTAATTTAAGAAAAGTGAGGCCAAGGTCAAAAGAAAGGTCAAGGTCAAAAAATGTTGATGCAGTTGAATAGCTTACATCAGTATGCATCAACATATGAAGTTTGATTACACTATCTTGAATGGTATCTTTAAAACTGAGCTAAACACTAATTTAAGAAAAGTGAGGTCAAGGTCAAAGGAAAGGACAAGGTCAAAAATGTTGATGCAGTTGCATAGCTCTCATCAATATCTTTTAGCATATGAAGTTTGATAAAAAAATCTTGGATGGTTTCTTTGAAAATGAGCTTTGAACATAGCTAAACGCAAAGTGTGACGGAAGGACAGACGGAAGGACGGAAGACGGACTTGACAAACACTATATGCCCCGGCCATATTCATGGCAGGGCATAACAACTGAAAAGTTGTTAAGCTTTATATTCATTAATTAACTTTACATCAGTTTTGCTAATTAATTAATCCACAAGTTCTCTGTTTTCACTAATTTCAATGTGAATAAACTTAAAAGCATAAAAGAATAGAAATCCTTTTGGTGACTCTGTTGAATATAATGAAAATCAGACTTGGTAAATTACTAGGCCTTTCAACTAATTTTTCAAGTTGCACATATGGTAAAAATATTTGATAGATAGATTTATAGGTACATGAAATTCTCAAAATGAAGTATGGAAGTAATGAAGAATGGAACATGACTATGTATAAGCATTAAATTCCAAATTTTGGTCACAAAGACACTGTGTGAAAAATTAACACATGTAAAAAAACTAAGAGAGAGACAGATGGAAAAGTTCATATTAAACATAATACCATGTTGCACCTGTCAAAAGACAGCAATATAAAAAAAAATTCTTAGTTCAAAGTGCTACATATTTACACTACTTGTAAATAACAAAACTTACGATAAATTTATCTTCCAACAATTGTTGGTGTTCCTTTTCAAAGTAGTTTTTAAAGTTTGGATATATTGTGTCATGAGCTTTCACTAATGTCTGTATTAAGCACTGAATTTGTCTCTCTGAGAGGGTCACAGTGTCTGCACCAATAGTTGTGTCACAACCGACCTGGGCCAAACTCTGAGACCCGTGGGTCACCACACAGTCACAACTCTCTAGAACATTCACAGTGTCTCTGAGTCGAACTTTCTTTTTGGGTGGTAAGTTACCTTCCAAAAAATTAAAATATGGTTAAATAAATAACAAACGTTTTTGAAGACTAAGAAAACTTTCTGATCATGTTGAATACATACTGTCTGATGAGTCTTGGCCACAGCCAGATTGGCAGGGTAACAAGGAAAGATCAACTGATGATTCCATATTGTCTGACTCTGCATCAACAGAATCGGACTGGACCTCCGAAGATTTTGTCTGGTTTGTTTCGCTGTCACACAATGATGATGATCCACAGTCTCCTGCTGGGTCAGTGGAGGTTTGGCCATCAGACGTGTCTTTCTGATTGTCAACAGATACTTCTACTGCTGTTTTATTAGCCAGCCTTTTGACCTCAAGAATAGTGTTGGTTCTGAGCTCAATGGTGTAACGTCCTTGTCTTACAGCTTTAAAGAAAAAATATATTTGTGGCATTAAGAATAAGTTCTAATACCTTGTATTTCCTACTCTGAACTTCATTTGTTGTTATTCAGGAGATGTAGGACTAAGGCTGCAAGAGATACCAAGGTTAAATAAAGTGCTCTCACTTAGACATATCTGTGTACCTGTGAAAAAGGTTCACAAATGTGTACAGTAAGACGTCAAATAAATAATCTATTACAGTTGAACTTTGTTATCTCGAACACCACTATCATGAATACCAGGGACACTCTGAAGAGAGTTGGCAGTCCAAACCACCTTTTCTTGATGTTTTTTAACCTTGTTATTTCGAATCCTTGGATATCTCAAAGCTTAGTCTTGGTTTGGGATAATGAGATTTGACTGTACAGTTTGTAATTCAAGAAAATGAGCAAAGCACACACGCAAGAAGAAGATATGAGCTAGAGGTCATAGGAAAGGTTATGGTAAAAACATTTGATATGATGGAAATGCTCTCACCAATATATATCTATGGAAAAAGTAACATGAAAGTCTTCTAATCTTTATTAGAAGTATTGTTTAGTATTGTTTGATATAATATGCCATATAGTATATATTCTAGATAAGTGTTATGGTGTGTTTTAAAAGTAAAAGAAATGCATTTAGAACACACAAATCAGATGTATCCATTTTTCAAAAGTGGAATCAACTTGCTTTTTGCCATTGAAATAATTAACAAGCATTGCAATTTAAACCATTTGTTTGAATGACATTGATTAAGAGATATGATGACAAGAGGTAAGTTGCAGAGCCCCCCCCCCCCCTCCCCCCAAAAAGATTAAATACTTGTAAATAAAAAATAAACATCTGCCCCATTAAAAGTGCTTTTAAAAGGCTTACCACTCTTGGACATTCCCAGGTTGAAGCACTTTTGAAGTCTGCATGCTGAACAATTTCCTCTCTTCTCTGCAGTTATTTCACAGTTATTGTCCTTTGGACAAGCATATTTATTTTTATCTGTTATGGCTCTTCTGAAGAAAGCCTGAAGAAAAGACAGTACAAACAGATAACATGATAAAAAACAAAACAAAACACATTATATTAATTCATCTCCCATTTATACTACAGGTTGATGTATGTACTGTACACAGGGTTATTTTCGCCCTTTCACACTTACAAATAATTTTGCCCTGTTTTAAATTCGCCTTCTCACAATTCTGTTTAAGAAATTATATTGTGTCCCTTGAATTTGCCCTGTTTTAAATTCGCCCACCTGTGAGAAGGTCGAAAGAGACAAAAATAAATGGGGGTGAAAATTTCCCTGTATACAGTATTGAAAATATTTCTAAATTTAATTTTCAAATTTTTCTCTGAGCCCAAAATTTTAAAGGGGGTGGGATGGGGTTTTTTAACACAAACCTGTTTATTAATAAAAAGTCAGCTTGATATAAATACAACTTGATCATATTCAACAATATATATCCATCATAAATTTAAAAGTGGCATTTCTTAAATAAAGCAAGCCATGATTACCGGTATACAGGGATATCATTGACCAAACAATGTACCTTGCAAGGCTCACAAGTGTAGACTCCATAATGAAGCCCTGTTGCCTTTCCTGAGCACACTTTACATGGTGGAAATGTTAACACGTCTTTTGAGCCAGATTTTCTCTTTTTCTTTCTCTCCTGGCTTTTTTCTTTAGTGCCTGGATCTTTGTCAATCTGTTCTTCAACATTTCCAGACATTCTAGCTCATATTTCTCTGATCCATTTACCTGTAAATTGATATAATAGGCTAGATATATTATGTCAAAATACTGTCACATAACTGAAGTCAAGTAGTATTGGATATTCAGCTTTATGGGGCATGGAAAACAATGGTGTGAATCTCTCAATATCCATCCCTATGAACTGACGTATTCAATAGTAGGCAGCTTTAATGATGTAACCTACTTGTCATATCTTATGATCATGAGTTTATAAAAAAGCAATTCAGTAGTCAATCTCACAGAAAAGCAGTTCTCAAAATGCTGAAGGCAATTTGACAATTTTGATTTCAAATTTTTATTTTGCAATCTGAAAGACTTACTTTGAATTAAGCCTTAGATATGCATGAATTGGAAGAGGATCTTAGATGATCTGTTATTTTGAAAAACAGAAGAAAAATGATTTCTGCAAAAGTTTGTCAAACATAAATTAATCAAATCATGCTGACTGTTGGTTTGTTTTAACGAATTACACTTTCACTACATAGTGTATTTGTTAAAAATTTTTATTGCTGCATCCTGCAACAATCAAAAGAAAAAGGAGCTATAGTGAAGGTCTGATTCTAATAAGAAAATCTGACCCTGACTGTACCTTTCTTAACATATAATGATATAAGTAACACAAGAAATCCTCAAGTTGTTCTTTGTATCAGATACAATTTCTCATCACTACATGCTCTAGACAGTTAAACATCTGTCATACTAGATAGAAAATTAAAATATTGTCCCTCAGACCCAATTTAACAACAGAATTTGTTCTGTGTGCTGGCAATGTAGCAAAATGCCAATCTCATCTATGTGTGTACTACATGTATGAACAGTTTATAATAGGGATGTCAACAAGTATTTGAATACTCGACTATCATTCAGTCATTATAACCGACTATCGACTAAAAATTTTTTAATCGGTAACTCCTTAAAAATGTGCTACTTTATAGTAATCTTACATTCGAGTTAATAAATTGGATTCACCTTATTTATTTTTAAATGCATCAGTATTTTCTTGAGTAAACTTGCACAAGGAGTTAGGCTTAAATCCATTCTTAGTTCATTGTTCTCGGTAGGAAATATTTGCACATTTATTTTTAATCGTCAAACATACAGTGTACTTTCAAAATAAACAGTCTGGGTTTATTTTAAAAGCTTTTTCAATAAAAGACTGAAAAAATTAAATTTATGTGAAGCTGAACTGGTGTTTTGTTTCTTTTATAACATCATATTTATTATATAATTTTAAAGAACTAAAGGCCAACATCCTTCAAATTTGTCAAAATCTTAAATTGAAACTTTTCTTGAAAGTTCCCTGCAAAAAAGCCAAGGTGTAGAGCCCAGGAAAAAAAAATGATGCTACCAAAAACCTGATCATAATACATTTTCTATTATGGAAAGAACTTCAAAGAATAATTTAGATTCAAATTCAAATTAAAAAAAAATGACTTGCAATAGAGTAAGATTACACAAAATCATACACCTAATTCAGGAAACAGTTTCAATACAAATCTGGCCCTGTGTTTTTCTAAAATATGGAAGTAATGTGAGAAATAAAAATTCATCCTTCCTGAATCATGGGAATTCCATGCAGTAAGAACATACAAAAAGCTTTTCTCATATGACCTCCTAAATGCTAATTGTGATGTCATGAACTTGTGCATTTTTACATATTTTCTTAAAAAGTTGCAGAAGACATCAATTTTCAGTGGAATTTTCTTTCAAATAATATAGATCACATGCATCGCCCACAAAGATTTTGAGATATGTGAATTTTTAAAGGATTTTGCACAGCATATCTGAAAATTGAAGTAGACAACGGCTGTGGACACTGTTTTCTTAAGGGAAATAACCCCTGAAATGAGCCATTTTGAGGCTTTTTCCGTTTAAAACTTAGGAATGTACCAAGTTAATGATGTCATATTCCAAAATAGTCCTCCTTCATGCCATATTCTTTCATGATTTATGACAATCATATACTCAACTCATATTTCAGCCAATTTCATAACTTTTTGAAAACATTAAATTTTAAGGGCACAATAAAGCCCAAACTGTACCTTCTTTACTGTTGTTTTTTCATGTTTCATATCAACACATTTTGTGAATTGGCTATTTATACATTATTTCATTATTAATAATTATTGCAAGCTTTATATGTTTTAATCTGAAGAACTTTTAACTTTTATTACCCGTTTTGGGATAATGACTTACAAAATTAATGTAGCTGGAAATGGACACATGTAAATGGCCTTGGGTGATTGATCAATCATGTGTAATTAGAGTGGACAAGCGAAAGTATTTGAAAAGCCCTATATTTATATAGATAACATAATATGCTGTAAAACAAAAAATTTAAATCAGATACATTAAGGTCAAATATTTATTTCTACTCAAATGCTGATTTGAAAATACTAAGTATGTGGTGGTAGCGTGGAATAAATATTGTACCAGTCTGAAAAATGACAGAACCTTGACATTAACACACAGACACACACAAACAAATATTTCAACGAGTACTTGACAATCTTTTGTTTAAAGCATCCGACTATTCGACTAAGCTGTCCGAGTAAAATTGACATCCCTAGTTTAGAAAGTACCAAGTACATGTACCATCATGGGGGATGTGTCTAAAATGAGAGAAATATACATAGAAACTGTGCTGAATTTTTCCTCTACATCTAATGCATATTTTGGGTGAAAGATACATACAAGCTAAAAAAGCTTATTATGAATTATTTGGAAATTATTTTCTACACAGGTCCTATTCTCTTTAGAGAAGTGGACAGGCTTTCGCCTACATCCACTTCTCTTCGCAAGCCTTCATGTTTTGATTCTGGAAAACGTGTAAATCTCGAACCGGTGACGGTCTACACTTCACTGACATTTCGTCTAAAATACGTCTGAATGTACGTAATAGATGTGTTATATTAACAATTTTAACATAAATACACACAATTGTCACAAGAAAACTGACCTTTAAGTATTGTTAATCCATTTTCACAAGTTCTCCATCCCGGATTTAAATTATGTGCAAGTAACTCTTGAAGTTTTCAAAAATCTCTAATTCGGATAAAAATGGAAACTATTTTTACAAAATAATAATGAAATGAGAGAAATCGTCTACTCTGTTTAAACTAACGAGACAGTATTTCCTCAAGTTTCGATCAAATTCTTTTGATCTTTGTTTTAAATCTTTTTTCATTTCTCGGGAAAGGTAGAGTTAATATCATTTAAAAATAAAAGAAAATATTTTTTAGTATTGTCAGTGAAGAAGTAATGAAGTATTTTTTAAGCTCAAATTTACATTTAAATTGTATTAAAATAGTAAAAATAAGTATAGGTAATAATATTAATTTTGAATAATATGCTAAATCAAAAGTGAATTGTCAAAAACTTTTTTTGAACATTAAAATATGTCTTCGTATGTAATTTCCAAATTATCTGACTTAAAATTTTCAATTTTTTCTAATAAGCTGTGGTAGATAAACATTAGTTTAAATCCGGGATGGAGAACTTGTGAAATGGATTAGCAATACTTACAGGTCAGTTTTCTTGTGACAATTGTGTGTATTTATGTTAAAATTGTTAATATAACACGTCTATTACGTACATTCAGACGTATTTTAGACGAAATGTCAGTTGAAGTGTAGACCGTCATCGGTTTGAGATTCACACGTTTTCCAGAATCAAAACATGAAGGCTTGCGAAGAGAAGTGGATGTAGGCGAAAGCCTGTCCACTTCTCTAAAGAGAATACACAGGTCCTACTGTATTCTTCAAAATTGTGCAAGAGCAGACCTGCACTGTTTTGCCACATTGCATCTATATGGGATGCATTCTAACTGTAGTGTGGACCTGAACCAGGACACAGAGTTAATTATTCTAACTACAGCCATGTGATGAATCCCTTCGTCTACAAATAAATTTCATCCACATAAAATATCTGCAAAATGCACTCCCCTTCTCATTTTGTATAAACTAACAGCCTTTCTGAATATACATGTGGCTCTGCTTAATGACAAACACTACTTACAAGTGTCGCGTATACATGTAACGTTATAAATCTCTACTTTCGATTTCAAAATTTCAATGTTGTAAACAGTTAAAAGACGTTCTTTTCTATTTTACCAGATCTACACTTAAAATACAGTTGGTGGCAAATAAACCCGTCACAGTTTAAAATGAATTTAAATAAAAATAAAAATCACTAACAACTCATCTGGAAAATTTCGCATAGACTCTAAAACCGTCTCTGTTGTCATCTGGTTAAATCGTGACTTCCGGTTTGCGATAACTATATCAAGTCGTTTAAAAGGTTATTCGTAAAGTCCATAAACATTGAAAAAAACAAGAGGCTCATGGACCACATCGCTCACCTGAACACTTTGCCTTGGAAAAGCAAAAAATTCAGTTAAGTACTGAAAAGTTAAAATTTATTTAAAAGTGGTCGGGGGGGGGGGGGGAGGGGTGATTTGAAAAAAACTTGAGTGGATGATTCCACATAAGTTTCATATTTTACATTACAGTGGTTCTTGAGAAGAAGATTTTAAAGCATGCCATTACTTTTTTTCACAAATTCGTAATTATCTCCCCTTGGAAGAAGGCGTGGCCCTTCATTTGAACAAACTTGAATCCCCTTTACCCAAGGATACTTTGTGGCAAGTTTGGTTGAAATTGGCCCAGTGGTTCTGGAAAAGAATTCAAAAATGTGAAAAGTTTACAGACAGACAGACTGCTAGACGAAAGCCGGACAAAATGTGATAAGAAAATCTCCGACACTTCAGCCTTCGGCTCAGGTGAGCTAAAAATGAAATGAGATAAGAAAAAAAATATTGATGAAATGTCATTCTTATCAATAAGGTGCAATTAATGTTGTGTCCTTGTCACTCGATATTTAAAATACAAGAATATATATCCAGATGAACAAGTAAACATAAATACTAATCGAGTCAGTTTTAAGGTCGTTCCGTTTACAAATATTGGCAAAATCGGGAAAATGTCTATTTAGATAAATTAAAAATT